TTCCCACAGATTAACTCACCAAAGCAACGGTCCCACTTGAAAAGTGGATTCCAACCAAGGCGCAAACTGCGCCAAGTACAGAGGAGCCCTTAGGCTCAAAATAAAGGAATTCGCCTTCAAGAGATCACCTCACTTAACCCAGCGATTGCAAGGGTCTCTGATATCCAAATCACCCAACGAGTGTTGATATCGATACAAGACAAGCCTTGTTCAAATCCAAGTTAAGGAATCGACAATCTAAAGTCACAAATTCCAAACCACCGAAATCCCTACACCCCGAACACAGGTGTATTACACAGAAGTTACACTAGGAGCGGAGCTCCAGTGCGAGGGTGCAATCCGCACCACACCACCACATTGAAACAAGCTCAGCATCGTGCTTGCCATCCCAAACGACAGACAGCAAGAGGCCTAACCGGTGCAAGGAGGTCCTGGATATTCACGGATACCAGAATCCAGGTGAGGTAAGGGGGGAAGCCGAACACCGAAGGGGTGTAGCGGTACCCAAGCCAAACTGTTTTAAAGCAGAAGGGAGACCCTCTTGCTCACTCATAAAGAAGAGAAAGACGACAGACCTCCATGGCGAGATGCACTAGAGGAAAGCCCTTCAGTTCAGAAGGCAAACCCGACACTTCAAGGAACCGAGAGCTCCACACTCTTCCCAGATTCCCTGGGTCCAGCTTCAGATGCAATCGAGCGTTCTGTATCTCCTCTATCAAACATCAAACAGGAAGGCGAACCTTACACTGACTCAGTCGGGACGACTGAGTCTTAGTGAGGGGGTAATGTCATGAATTCACCCCTATTTTTCGCTTATCTTATCTTATCATGATATCTTATCACGGCAAGTCGGCAACTCATCATTCAACTCTCGTCATCATTCCTCGTACCTAATCCGCATCATTCATGACCCACTTGGTCACAACGCCTACACGGCACCACCTCGCACCAGGGACCACATCACTAGGACTCCGTCATGGGCTCTGCAGCCACACATGGTGGAAGGCAGCACCATACGAACAATGCCCTTCTTACTCGCAGGAGAGCTTCTAGCATCATCACGCTCACACCGCATCACCGGGGCATTGCCACAACACAACTATCAGTCTTCCCTGATAGATCCCTGGTGTTAGCCACTAACTCTCAAAACTTAGATCAACTAGGGATCGCCACTCGCACTTCGGTGGACGATACGATAGAGGTCAAAGTCCTGGGGAGTGAGCAGTGACGAGACAAATAGTCACAAAGAGCAGAGCTTTGAGTTAGGTAGATTAAACCTTAGCCGAAGCTGGGGTTTAGTCCAGCTGAGGCTCTACTTAAATACAAGTGGATACGCTAATAATAGTACTGTGAGAAATGATCTGCTAGGATCGCATATGCATAATCAAGCTGAGTAAAACGAAGAAAAATGAATAAACTGTAACATTACCCCCTCCCTAAGACTCGTTTGTCCCGAATGAGTCACTAGATGTCCCCCCATCGTATTCTGAAGACGAATATTTGGATTCGGAGTAGAATGAATAGATGTCATTGTCATCATCATTGTCATCATCTTCATCCTTATCCCAATTTTCGGTGACTCGTTGTAGATGATCGACATCAGAGTCCTCGGGATCAGGATAGTTAGGGGATTCATCGTCGAATGAGGACCTATCATCTAGGGCGTTAAGCTCCTCGGAGTGTGCAGGCGCTGTACATTCGGAAGAGGGGACGGTGATAACCTCGGTGACACATGGGGTGTCCGGTTCATGATATTGGACTGGGAGGTTCAAGGGCATTTTGTCATCCCGCCCAACCGTCTTTCCGTTGTTGTTAACTGTCCACCAGATCTTTTGGATTCAGGTTTCGTAGTCATTAACGAGTTCTTCTGCATTTGCCATGTTTGAATGTTTGACCCATGAGTTCTCCTCTATCGGGTATCCTTTCCATTTTACCAAGTATTCGGTAATGGTTCGGCGAGTTTGTCCCCGCCCAATGACTCAGTCTCTTTCTCCTACAATCTCTTCGATCTCGTACTCTTCTTCGTCATCGATGAGTTCCGGAGGTGGTCTCTCGGGACGCGGTTGGTCTGGGAATTCGGGGGCATGATATGGAGTGAGTAGGGACTCGTTGAATCGGTTATGAATTCGCCATTTTGTGGGGAGTTTCAGTTCGTAGGCCGATGCTCCTTTCTTTGCTATGATGGTGAACGGTCCTACTCGCCTATCTCCCAACTTCTTGGTCAGACGAGGAAGGTTTAAGTTCGTGGAATCCAGCCAAACCTTGTCGCCGATCTGATATTCCAACGCTTTTCCTTTGTGTTTGTCATAGGCTTTCTTCATCGATTCGGCTGTGCATTCCAGTGATTCCCTTGCCCTCTCCTGTACCTCCTGAATTCCCTGGACCAATTTCGATGCGGCTGGTATGGCATCCTGGTGTTGGGTAGTCTTGATAACCTGCCCGTCACGTCCAAAGACTACCTTGTATGGTGAAAAACCCATAGCGGAGTGTTTTCGATTATTGTGAGTGAATGCGGCGAGTGGTAGCCACTCGCTCCAATCGTCTTGGCGGTAACTGACGAACATTTTGAGGTATTTCTCAATTTCTTGGTTGACCCTCTCTGTTTGTCCGTCCGTCTGAGGATGGTAGGCTATCGAGGGGTTCCCTGCGACTTGAATGAGGGCATAGAATTCCTTCATGAACTTTGATACGAAGACGGCTCCTCTATCCGAGATGATCTTTTCCGGCATTACGCCATATGGTACATATACGCAGTCTCGGAGGATCTTGGCGAAACCTAGAGACGATAGCTCCTCGGTGCACGCAATGGGAATAATGGTTTTAGAGAACCTGTCGACCAAAACAAGGATGGAGTCATTTCCGTTCGAGTCGGGGAGCTTGGTGATCATGTCGACTGAAATGTGCTTCCACGGTCGGTCCGGGACCTCGTTCGGGTGGAGGGGCGCCCTTTTGGGACAACGATCTGCCTTGGTTCGTTGACAAACTTCACATCCTTTTACATAGGCTTCCACCTCTGAGCGCATTTGAGGCCACCAGTAGTCTCGTAGGACGAGCTCTTTTGTCTTTTCTATCCCCGGGTGCCCTGCAGTTACATGATCATGTCGTAGAGCTATGATCTCGCCCCGCAGCTGCCGGTCTCTGGGCACATATATGCGCCCGTCATACCATAGTAGTTCTTGATCTCGTGAGACCCCTTTTTCGTGGTTAAGGGAGTCGGAGATGCCCTGGTCCCACTTGCGCGGGTCGTGAGTGGCGAATTTAATCTTTTCATGCAGTTCTTCCGCGGTGGGCATGATGAGGGCTCGAAAATGAGCAGGTTTCAAGACCGTCACATCCCGGTTGTCGTTCTTCCCTTGGTCGTGATCCACTCGTCTGGACAATAAATCGGCTTTACGATTTTGGGCTCCCGGTTTGTGGTGTAAGGTAAACTGGTACTCGGCCAGTTTGGTTACCCACCGAGCTTGTCGTCGATTAAGCTTTTGGGGTTTTCGAAAGTACTGAAGGTTGGAATGATCTGTCCAGATCTCGAAGTCCTCTTGAGCGCCCATGAGGTATTGTCGCCATTCTTCCAACGCAATCATGATGGCAAGGAGCTCCTTGTCATAGATTTCGTAGTTGCGTTCTGTAAGTGATAGCGCCTTGGAGAGAAAGGCCACCGGCCGCCACTTCTCCTCCTGCCACTGTGATAGCACTGCTCCTATCGCTCCCTCGCTGGAGTCCGCTTCCACTCGGAATTTTCCTTCGTCTAGCGGGATGGTTAGGACCACATCCTTGTGGAATAGTTCTTTGAGCTTTTCGAACGCTGTCTGCTGGGTCTCTCCCCACTTCCACTCCGCCTTCCCCATGAGGGCAGTAAGGGGTCGGACGTGCTTGCTGTAATCATGGATAAATCGTCGGTAGAAGTTGCAAAAGCCCAAAAACGACTGGAGTTCCTGCCTCTTCGATGGCACAGGCCAGTCCAGGAGACCGGCGATCTTTACGGGGTCCATGCGGATCCTCCCTTCACTGATGAGTACACCCAAGTATTCTGTTTCTTCCACTTCGAACTTGCATTTCTCCGCTTTAAGGAAGAGTTTGTTCTCATGAAGAATTCGGAGTACTTCACATACTATGCGCCTGTGGTCCTCCTTGTCTCTCGACGCAATAAGTATGTCATCGAGGTAGACCGACACTTCCCCAGCGGTGATAAGGTCCTTGAAGATGTCGTTCATCATCCACTGGAAAGTGGCTGGTGAATTCGTAAGCCCGAAGAACATTACCAGCGGTTCATAGAGACCGCGATTGGTTCGAAAGGCAGCCTTCCACTCATCCCCTTGCTTTATCCTGACATTGTTGTACCCCCACCGTACGTCCAACTTGGTAAAATACTTGGCCTTCTTCAGCCGGTCCATGAGCTCTCCGATGAGGGGTAACGGGTATTGATTCTTGATAGTCATTTCATTGAGCTTGCAATAGTCTTGGACCGGGCGAAGCTTGCCGTCCTTTTTCTTTATGAAGAAGAATGGGGATGCCATCGGAGACTTGGACGCTTGAATGCGCCCAGTGGATAAGTTTTCGTCTAAGAACCTATCCAACTCTTCCTGTTCTGCGGGGTTAAGAGGATAGACTTTACAGTCCAGGTTGGCATTGGCGTTGGGAATCAGCTCAATGGCGTGGTCCCACGGCTTCCGCGGCGATAATTCGTCGAAGTTTTCTTTAGCGAATACGTCCCTAAATTCCCGGTATTCCTCTGGCACGATTTCTTCAAAGGACTTGGTCGTTTTGCGGGCATTGGCTTGGGTGGCTAGTTCATTGGCCTTAGTCCCCATTGCCCAGACGTGGAATGCCTCCTCCACCTGTAGCTGCTACTTTGATGCATCAAACACTGTTAGTTGACAGTTAATTGTGATACATCAGGAGTGTCAGTTTACATCCAGCCCATATACAGTAATTCCATCAGGATGACAAAGTGGCTTAGTAAGCTTCCCAATCTGTGTCAATGATGGCATCATTAGAAAAGAGGGCAATTCCGGGAATTGAACCCAGGACCTCAAAAATAAATCCAATAATATCACATGACTTTCTCGAGCAAGCATGCTAACCACTACACCATACTAGCATTATATATATCTCTTTTCATCTCTATATATACCCTCCCTCCCTTAACATTTATGACCTCATATTGATGCCCTCCCTTTGCTCCGCTCTGGTGCGCTCTTTTGCCTTTTTAGGCTCCCCAAATCAGCCCATCAATTTTGGCTGGATCCAGTGGCAGTGCCGCATTTTTAATACCCAAAATAGGGGCTATTTTCCGGTCAAAACAGCTATTTGGGCTATTCTCAGGCTACTGGCTGGGCCAGGGGATGGCACTATAATCTGTATAGACATAAACAACATAAAATAGAGCCCTCTAATGATACATAGGAGCCCTGGATAGTGGGATAAAAGGGTAATATAATGAAAATCGCATAAATATTCGCTTTTGGGGGCTGCTGCGTGCATTGGATCGGCTGGAGGACTTCACCAATCGATTCCCTGACCTTGAAAACACCCAAACGACCCCTCCACAGTACTTTTGGCACACTTTATTCCTGGAGATAAACGAAAATATTCGCTTTTTAGGGTGCAGCATGCTCCAGATCGCTTTGAAAACATTACCAGTCGATTCCTATGCTATAATAACCCTAGAATACATCCTCCTTCGTAATATAGGTCCAGTATAATACAGTATAAAAGGGGGTATTAGGGGGCATACATCGCTTATTTTGTTTTTCGCACTTCGGATGGCCTGGGGAGCATCACCAATGGATTCCCTGATATTTAAAACCCCAAAACGACTCCAGCATTCATTTATAGGGTCTCAAAAACGACAGAAATAATGATATTACAGTTTAGGAGGAGCACATGTAATAAATCCTATTTCTGGGCTTCGGACCACTTCGGAGTTTTGTCTATTGTGTTTATTGACCTGAATAACACTCAAATGACCCCACAGGACAAAGGAAACCATCAGAAATACGTGATAAAAAGAGTAATAGGGGGATGGAGGAGACATACCTTATATTTCGCATTTCTAATAGTTAGGGAGGGTATTCTTGTTATATAACAGACTGTATATATTGTACAATGGTGTGTACGAAGCCCCATGGATATCCGAAATGTATTGAATGAGATATGAGCAGATCATTCTGTAAAACAGGAGGAGCACATCCCATATTTCGATGTTCTGCTCATTCTATGGCCTGGAGACTATCAGAATCGGATTCCTTGACCTAAAAAACAGTAGAGGCACCTATCATCCATGGTATTCAGATGTTCAAACTCCGAAGTACAAGATGTTCTCTCATTTGTTACTTATATTGTCCTGAAGCTACATATGGCTGTATGTGTTATCTGGGTAAAATGGCTCCTATGGATGATAAGTGCCTCTACTATTTTTTGGGACAAGGAATCCGATTCTGATAGTCTCCAGGCCATAGAATGAGCAGAACATCGAAATATGGGATGTGCTCCTCCTGTTTTACAGAATGATCTGCTCATATCTCATTCAATACATTTCGGATATCCATGGGGCTTCGTACACACCATTGTACAATATATACAGTCTGTTATATAACAAGAATACCCTCCCTAACTATTAGAAATGCGAAATATAAGGTATGTCTCCTCCATCCCCCTATTACTCTTTTTATCACGTATTTCTGATGGTTTCCTTTGTCCTGTGGGGTCATTTGAGTGTTATTCAGGTCAATAAACACAATAGACAAAACTCCGAAGTGGTCCGAAGCCCAGAAATAGGATTTATTACATGTGCTCCTCCTAAACTGTAATATCATTATTTCTGTCGTTTTTGAGACCCTATAAATGAATGCTGGAGTCGTTTTGGGGTTTTAAATATCAGGGAATCCATTGGTGATGCTCCCCAGGCCATCCGAAGTGCGAAAAACAAAATAAGCGATGTATGCCCCCTAATACCCCCTTTTATACTGTATTATACTGGACCTATATTACGAAGGAGGATGTATTCTAGGGTTATTATAGCATAGGAATCGACTGGTAATGTTTTCAAAGCGATCTGGAGCATGCTGCACCCTAAAAAGCGAATATTTTCGTTTATCTCCAGGAATAAAGTGTGCCAAAAGTACTGTGGAGGGGTCGTTTGGGTGTTTTCAAGGTCAGGGAATCGATTGGTGAAGTCCTCCAGCCGATCCAATGCACGCAGCAGCCCCCAAAAGCGAATATTTATGCGATTTTCATTATATTACCCTTTTATCCCACTATCCAGGGCTCCTATGTATCATTAGAGGGCTCTATTTTATGTTGTTTATGTCTATACAGATTATAGTGCCATCCCCTGGCCCAGCCAGTAGCCTGAGAATAGCCCAAATAGCTGTTTTGACCGGAAAATAGCCCCTATTTTGGGTATTAAAAATGCGGCACTGCCACTGGATCCAGCCAAAATTGATGGGCTGATTTGGGGAGCCTAAAAAGGCAAAAGAGCGCACCAGAGCGGAGCAAAGGGAGGGCATCAATATGAGGTCATAAATGTTAAGGGAGGGAGGGTATATATAGAGATGAAAAGAGATATATATAATGCTAGTATGGTGTAGTGGTTAGCATGCTTGCTCGAGAAAGTCATGTGATATTATTGGATTTATTTTTGAGGTCCTGGGTTCAATTCCCGGAATTGCCCTCTTTTCTAATGATGCCATCATTGACACAGATTGGGAAGCTTACTAAGCCACTTTGTCATCCTGATGGAATTACTGTATATGGGCTGGATGTAAACTGACACTCCTGATGTATCACAATTAACTGTCAACTAACACCTTTCAAACAGAAATCTAGCAGACCAGGCTGCCTCCTCGAAGTCTATTACCAGAATCGTGTTGCCTTCTTCATACTCCTCCCATCGTGAGGAAGGATCTGTGTCGGGTAGAGAGAAGGGAATCTTGCGGCAGGTACAACGGGCCAGAGTGACGGCCTCAGTGTCCCAATCGATGAGCGGGTTATGTCTTTGCAGCCAATCATGTCCTAGGAATAGGGGCGTGGTGCTGAGGTCTACTACGGCTAGCTCGATCCTTTCCATGTGATCCCCGATCCGTAGCCGCACTTCAGCGTACTCTGTGATGTCACCTCCTTTGTTCCTGGTGCTGTCGGCATTGTAGACCAGGACGGGTCGGGCCGCCTTTTTGAGATTAAGAGCGTGTTTTTGGGCCCAGGCTCGGTCTATGGAGCTGCCTGTGGCTCCACTGTCCACTAACGCTTTAAGGGAGTGGGTTTCGCGAGTATCTAGTGTTTCCAATTGCACGTTAATTGATACGTTACGCCCCTTCCTTCCTCGTATGTACATGGGAGGCTTCTTGAGGTCCTCCATCCACTCCCACTTATCCCTGGCTTCTTCAGCGGTCTCGGGTTGCTCCTTAAGCACCTCCCACAGCTCGGTCGTCACCTCCCCTGTCCGGCGAGGGTGCACCCACCAGTTGAGAGCGGCAAAGGCAACTGACTCGTGGTTAGCCAGTCGCAGTGCCCAGCGGGTCCAATGCGTCCTGAAGAGTTCGTAATACGTATCCTGAACAGGCTTCCGGGTTTCCGCTCTTGACGCAGGCTCGGAGGTCACAGGAGACTTCCCCTTGGGCACGACGGTCGGAATGTCGGACCGTAGGTGGGCTTCTTCATCTTCTACTTTCGTCAACGAAACTTGGGGTTTCTTGCCTCAAGGTGGCAGTTGGTCACTGGGCCAGTCATTAAGGCCCCTCAGCAGCAGTTGGTCACCTTCCGACGAGTTGGTGGAGGAGGGCTCGCTGCCCTGTGTTCAGCCCTGGCCAAGGGTGCTTGTGCATGGCGTTGTAACCTCCACTGTAATCCTGTACTTATCCTCTTGATTAACCTCAGCGGTACTCTCGGAAACCCTAGGCAAGCGCACACATATCGGCTCGTCAAGGGGGTCGGCATCGTTTGCAGATGAGGCCACTACTAAATGTAGGTGGTCCCCTTGAGTCCCGGCCTCAGCTGCTTTCTCGCCATGGACAGGAGGAACAACCTGAAGGGAAGGCCCACCCATTGGAGTCGTCGGCCGATTCTCCCTGCCAAGGCGATGACCGCCATGTCTGGTGTCCATCTTGTCCTGACCTGAGGCGCTCGCTGGGTTCTCCAGACCTTTCCCCGTTTGGTCAGGCGGGGGTGTCTGAGGTAGACTGGCCCCTAGGGGTTCATTGTCCGTCGCGGGCTGCGTAGGACGGCGGAAATCCCCTCCTATGCCTGTGGCATTCTGCGATTCCTTATCCTTAGTTTCTTCTACTGGTAACGCGGCGAAAAAGTTGGTATATTGCTCGAACGGGGTACCTACATACGTAGTATAAGTCCGACTATTATTACAAGAGGGCACACCAGATGAAACTAAGTCCTTTGCTGACACCGTCGAATCGCTTATTTCGACGTCGGCTCGTCTTTTGACAACTTCTCTTCCTTGACCTCCTCGACCTTCGTGTCTTTTCCTAATTCTTCTTTCTCGGCCTCGGCGAGTAACTGGCATAGGCGCTGAATGTTGGGCTTTTTGCGAGGTGGGAGTTTGACAGGAAGCCACTTGGACTTGTCCGTCAGGCATTTATGCTCTCGACTCCATCCAGTGTTCCCACACTTGAAGCACCGTTTGTCGGATCGAAGCTTGTCGATTTCCATTGGTTGCCCTGCACCCCCATAGGTGGTCCCCGTGGCGTCCTTCTTGTCGCCGCCCGAACCTTGTCCTTTTGATTGATTCTGATTGCCTCGACCCGAACCTCCTTGGTTTGAGGAGGGCTTACTGGCAAGGCCCTGGGCCACGTTGTAGCGATAGTTGGCGTCGATCCTTAGGACTCGCGCCTTCCATTGCGCGTAGGTTGTGGGGCGCTCGTTGTCCCCATGCATAACCGTCTTGCGCACCGTTGGCCTAATCGCCGCTTCTACTGTCTCGAACATCTGCTTCTTGTCTTCGAATTCTTCGCACTTGTGGGCTAGACGTTCGAATTTGGCAAAGAACTCCACCGCGGATTTGAATTCCGACTGTCAGACCTTCTTCCACTCCTGCTTCCATATGGCTAACTCGGCTACTTCTCGGAATTGGACGGTGAGGTCATGGGA